ATTATCATTATCATTATCGTTGTTGTTGTTGCTGTTATCATTATTGTTGTTATCATTATTATCATTATCATTATCATTATCATTATCATTATCATTATTATTATTATTATTATATATTAGTAGTAGTAGTAGTATCATTATTATCATCATTATCATTATTATCATCATTATATTATATTACTATTATTATATTACTTTATCATCATTATTATCATTCCTATTATTACTATCATTATTATTATTTTCAATATTACTAATACTATCAGTAATACCATTAGCATCCCCACTGCCATCGCTCTTACAAAAAGTATAACAACAACATCAACAAGAGCATCGCTGCGTGTCCTTCATGCCTTCCCACGGCGCTGCAGGTCAACGTGCCAAGCGTTATATCATAATCTAATGTTGAACTTCAGCGTCACCTCCCACAGGAAGGCGTGGCCCTTTCACATGAAAAGGCTTTAATTCTCCGGAAACTACGTCACAAAATGCCAATGGCGACGTCTGCAACAAATAAACTATTACGGAGGTTTGGGCGTCATATGACCAATTACAGAGACCCAGTTTGTTTACATTTCACCGAGGGAAATGAAGCGGCTGAGCGACTGCACGTGGACCAGAGATCGGGGGCAGAGTCGACCCCACGTGATGAAAGTGGTGGCCGCGTCGGGGGCAAGGGGGCAGCTACCCCTCTGGCCGCTATGCCTTCGGCGCTGGAACTCCAAAACCATGGCTTAAGGTAGAAGCGCTGTGTTCGTGATGCCACACACCTCTCAAAGGGGAATATACCGAATGCCCTTTCGCTATATCGCTTCTTCGGGGCGAGAGGCAGCAATGCGGCGAAAAGGCCTTCGGCATATTCGTGCGTTTTCTTGTTCTTCCCTTCGCCATTTTGCTCACGACAGGTCTCCAAACACAAAGCCCCATAAAATTAGCCATATGTTCTGCCTCCATACAAACTACCTAAATGTTGTTGCCAGAAAACCCAACACTGTCTACAGGACTCAAAAGCTTTCTACTGCAAGTCACAAAATAAACACCAACAACATCGCCGGGGAAATCTTCATATACTGTAAAAAAAAAAAAAAAACTTTCCCAAAAGAAGCAAAAAGATCCCGCGACCGTAAACCACTCCTGCGCACAAATACTTGAAAACGACGTCGATCGTAAAGTTTCTCGACGCAAAAAAAAAGGAAATCACGTGCCCATAAAAGCACCGGAACGAACGCGAAAGCAGCAAAAACAAAATTGGCGGAGACCTCGTCACCCCATCCCCTCCATACAGAAACAGACATGCAATGAAACACTCACTCACTCACTCACTCATTCACTCACTCACACTCACACTCACTCACTCACTCATTCCCTCACTCACTCAATCACTCACTCACCTACTCAATCACTCACTCACTCTATCACACTCACACTTACTCACTCACTCACACTCATTCACTCCCTCACTCATTCCCTCACTTACCCACTCAATTACTCACTCACACTCACTCTCACTCACTCATTCACTCACTCAATCACTCACTCTCACTCACTCATGCACACTCATTCATTCACTCACTCACCCACTCACTCACTCACTCACTCACACTCACTCACTCACTCACTCATTCACACACAGAGTTTCCTCCCTTTCACCATAATCCTTAGAACAATTCCTGGTATCCAATAATAATCAACATCACGCTGATGCTGACAGTAGTAGTGGTGACAGTGATGATGGTGAGGAGACTAACAATAATGATAGTGATAGTGATGATCATCATAATAAAGATAGTGATGATGATAATAACAATACTGATGATAACAATAGTGATCATAAAAATAGTGATGATAATGATAATGATAGTCACGATGATAACGATAGTGATGATCATTATTATGATAGTGATGATAATAGTGATTATGGTAATGATGATGATAACGATAGTGATGATGATAAGGATAGTAATGGTGATGATAATTAGCGATGGGTGACGTTGGTGACGACGATGACGATGACCACTGTGCCTGTGGTCCCGGCCCCCCTCCCTCCCGCCCCCGATGCGGGAAAGGAAGAGCAACGTGAACCCAGAACAATAGCAACCCACCCCCTCCCCCTCCCCCGCCCCCTCTCCCCGGGAAGAGCTGAGCCTGCAGTCTCTAGGGGGCACTTCTAGGCCTCTTCTAAATCAAATCAATAACCTATTTTGTTTCTCGCCGTGTAGCCGGGCCGATCTGGGTCACGGCCTACTGCCCCTCCGTCGCCCCCGCCGCCGCCGCCGTCAGACAGCTCGCCTCAGGAAGAAAGAGGCGGACCTGCCGTGGTTTTCGTGTCTTTGGACCTGGATTCCCCGTGGACCCTGCGTTGTGCTGCCATTGCAATGTCGTCTCTTTCCTTGCACAAAGGTTGTTGCTTCATCGTAACTATTAACCAGTGAAGTACAAGGCGTATGCCTTAGATGTGGATACGTTATTCGCATTCACACACTATGCACGTGTCTGTATTTATATTGATACATCTATATCCATACCTATATACATCTACATCTGTATCTACATCTACAAATACACCTATAAATATATTCCTATGGATTAACGTATTTCCCGCACGTATGTCAGTGGCGCCGGCCCACCGCTATCAGAGGCGCAAGCACAATGACAGCTTCCGTGCCTGTGCGCAAAAATCATCAGGTGTTTTCAGGGATGTAAGGTCTGCGATCCGGGCTGAGAGGGTTTACTTGCTCGTTTCTCGATGGGCCAGACCTGCTCTATCACGCTTGGCTGACATCATTTCCTTGCGTCAGCGCTGGTCAACATCGACGCGTCCGTGATTTCCTTTACACCTTTTGAGCGTTGTTACTTTACTCACGAGCTACATGGACGTGTATGCAAATATGATAGGATTTATACATGTGTATACACCTATCTATGCATGGGAATTTGCTTAACAATGAACCTTATAAGAAACAAGTGAATCCAGATGAATAAATAATGAAGGAAAAGTGTACGAAGGCCAACCGGACGTAAAATATTTCTTATCAAAAACAATAACAAACAAGTACTTTACTTACCGTCCCGGGGAACAGTCTGGACTCCCTGGGCAACAAACAATTTGGTCTTTACCTGAAAAGACAAAGCAATAGAAGTTGAAAATGCACAGTCTGCAGAACTCAATCCAAATATATAAAAGACGTATCAGAAAGATATTTGTGTTGGGCCAAAACATACTGTTGTGCTCTCCTTCCCAAGCGAAAGCTCCGACGCCAGGGGATCGTCAGAGTTCTAGCTATCCGCTAAGAGGCTTCAGAAGCCTCGAGGCAGCAAAAGAGATCGCACGCATTTACAGCCGCTGCCTACACCGCACAGGCGGTTAAAAGCGTGCACCCTAGACTAAGAAATGAAAGGCTAGAATCATACCGAAAGACCTTGCTAAATGTCTGGTAAATATTCATGTAGTGCGCGCACGCGCGCGCGCGCGCGCGCACATACACACACACACACACACACACACACACACACACACACACACACACACACACACACACACACACACACACACACACACACACACACACACACACACACACACACACACGTACTTGCACATGCACATGCACACGCACACACATGTATGTAGAATATAAAGTCTTGTTCAGTATCATTTAATCTATCTGACCAGGCTGTCCGGTAAGGATTTTTTTTTTTCCAGTCTTTGTATTATTTATTTACGATCCGGCAAATAGTAATTCATGGTAATATAGCGCAAACCCAAAAGAATTACGGTATACGACCAATGACATTTTCATCTCACACCGAAATCATACCACTACATCTTCCTTCTCTGCAAACTCGCCGCGTGTCGCATTTTGAGTAGCACTGGTCTACATTCTGTTCATTCAACCCCAAGCATCTCGAGCACAGACACATTATGAAAACAATACAACTTACTTAGGAGACCTACATAGCCTAGATTTTGCAAGAGCTCTAGGGCAACATGAACTATCCGTAATATGATGATAGGGCTGGAATAGACAGAAGACTTGCAAAGGAACACAAGGCCAACCGCTGGAACGCATCAAGAGAGGGTTTCTGCCCTGTGGAAGCAGGGGGTTAGAAACCACTAGATTGCCTGTTAATCCCTCTGAAACGTTATCCTAAACAACTTGGTTCTGTAGATGAACTGGTTTTTAAACTTCAATACAGGACAAGGAGTGGCACCTTGCTTACTCCACTCTTAAATGGTGACAATTTGTTTTGCTTTCTGATACAGAACGCTGTAGCTCCCCTCCCTTGCCGGCCCCGAAGGCGCCCGCCCTCCGGCTCAGTAGGCACGGCTAGTCACTGGCGTACGTGTGAAAGTGTTCCGACGGCACGAGCGTGTCTGGAGAAACGTACATCTGCTGCTTTTTCACTTTCCAATTCGACAGGTGTTAGCAGAAAGCGAAAGGCAATATAAGAGAAGCAATATGCTTAGTTCTCATGAGCGAAAACAAAACAAAGAGGAAACTGCTGGCGCCCTGTACAACATAAGCCGATCGTCGAAGCGTATCCGAAAAGCACTGCACAATGCTTTTTACTAGTTCGTAATCCCGTGATGATGAAAGCTTTGCAGTACACCTGGCGTAAAAGCAGATTTCAAACTGAAGCAGCACTTATTACACTATTACAAAAAAGATATGCAAATTGCAATAACAATAAGATTATAAAAACAAAATTATTTGTTCATTATGTCAATACAATGCAGTGAAATTGTGCTATATCAGTTGCTTGATATGAGTTAGTCAATGAACACTCTGCATTATCCAACTTTAGCTGGTTATATATTACTATGACATGGGTTTAGTGAGCACAGCAGAGCTGATCCAAGTCCAGTCTTGAAGCGTGAGGGAGTCACAAGCGTCCGTGGACGGTGGAGTCCGAGGTGCAGCAGGGCAGGGCCAGATTCACGCAGCAAGCCTGCCTCAGGGCCAGCGGCAGCATCGCGCGACAGCAGTAGCAAAGCTCACCGTTCATGAACGAGCCGTCTCCCTCCTGCATCTCCATCAAGTAAGCGATGTAGAATTCATCGTCATCGCTGTCGTCGTCCTCCTCATGCTCTGGCTCCATCGCGGTGTCGTCCTCCAACTCCTTCTCGTCGGAGGAGCAGTCGCTGTGGGTATCTGGCACCGTAGCGGGAGGCTCGGAGCTGGCGCGGCCTCGACGGGCGTCCTCCTCGAGCACCCGCAGGTGCGTGAGGGAGCCGACCAGCGACGCCACGGACGACGGGTCGTGAATGGTCATCTTGCGGCCGACCTTCTTGCGCACGTCGCCCAGCAGGCTGCTCATCGACATTTTGCGTCGAGTCGCCATCTTCCGAGCCAGCAGGTGGCGAGTCTAGCACAAAGAACGAAGAATAAGGACGGGTCTACACCGGAGAGGCTCTCGCACACAAACACGGTGTCCTCTCGCCCTCGGAACATCAAGTCCCAAGTCTCGCTCGCTAGCGTCCGCCTTCTACCGTCTGTCTCTTCGACCTGTGTTTCAGCGAAGGTTGACGGAAAATAAACAGTGATAGAAGCCACGGTAACCACCTTTCCTCCCTACGCCCGTCCCTCACTTCCCATCCTTCCTCCTTTCCTCCCTTCTTCCCAACTTTCCTCCTTCCCTCCCTTTTCCTTCCTTCCTACCTCCCTTTTCCTTCCTTTCCTCCTTCCCCTTTCCCCTCCCCCTTCTCTCTCACTCTCTCTCCTTCTCTCCCTTCTTCCTTCCCTTCTTTCCCTCCTTCCCTTCCTCTCTTTCCCCCTTCCTCTTTCTCAACTCCTTTTCTCCACTCGCCTCCCCTCTACCTCTTTCTCCCCACATTCCCCTCCCATTCTCTTCCCTTCTCTCTCTCCTCACTTTCATTCTCTCTCACTGTCCCTCTCTTTCCTTTCTCTTACCCATGCCTCCCTCCCTTTCTATTTCCCATTTCTCCCTCTCCTTTTCTCTCTCTCCTCTCCTTTATGTCCCCTTTTCTATCTCCCTGTCTCTCCCCTTCTTCCTTTTCCCCTTCTGCTTACCCGTCCCCATCCCCGTCCCGTCTCCCCGTCCCCGTCCCCATCCCCATCCCCATCCCCGTCCCCGTCCCCGTCCCGTCCCCGTCCCCGTCCCCGTCCCCGTCCCCGTCCCCGTCCCGTCCCCGTCCCCGTCCCCGTCCCCGTCCCCGTCCCGTCCCCGTCCCGTCCCGTCCCCGTCCCCCCATCCCCATCCCGTCCCCGTCCCCGTCCCCGTCCCCGTCCCCGTCCCCGTCCCCGTCCCCGTCCCCGTCCCGTCCCCGTCCCCGTCCCGTCCCCGTCCCCGTCCCCGTCCCCGTCCCCGTCCCGTCCCCGTCCCCGTCCCGTCCTCCCGTCCCGTCCCGTCCCCGTCCCCGTCCCGTCCCCGTCCGTCCCCGTCCCCCGTCCCCGTCCCCGTCCCCCCATCCCATCCCCATCCCCGTCCCCGTCCCCGTCCCCGTCCCCGTCCCGTCCCAGTCCCCGTCCCATCTCACCCCCGTTCCCGTCCCCGTCCCCGTCCCCGTCCCCGTGTCCCCGTCCCCGTCCCCGTCCCCGTCCCCGTCCCCGTCCCCGTCCCCGTCCCTCGTCCCGTCCCCATCCCCATCCCCATCCCATCCCCATCCCCCCCGTCCCCGTCCCCGTCCCAGACCCCGCCCCCATCCCCACCCCGTCCCCGTCCCCGTCCCCGTCCCCGTCCCCATTCCCATCCCCGTCCCCATCCCCTATCCCCGTCCCCATTCCCGTTCCCGTTCCCGTCCCGTCCCAGTCCCGTCCCCATCCCAGTCCCCGTCCCCTCCCGTCCCCATCCCAGTCCCCGTCCCATACCCGTCCCATTCCCATATACGTCCCAGTTCCCCTCCCCGTTTCTGTCCCCGTCCCCATCCCCGTTCCATTCCCCATCCGTATCTCCGCCTGATCGATGTCCCCGTCTCATCCCCGTCCTTCGTGCCTATTCCCTCCCTGTCCCCTCCCCTCTCCTCCCCTCCCCTTCCCTCCCCTCTTCCTCTCCCCTCCCCCTCTTCCTCTCCCCTCCCCCTCTTCCTCTCCCTCTTCCTCTCCCACAACAACTCTCACAGCACGTAGCGCACCTCATCCAACTCACGAAATTACACCACATGACACTAAACCATATCACGTTCCACCCCATCATACTCCACATGCGTCTCCTCTGAACTCTGACCTTCGCGACACGGTCACAGCATGCATCATTCATCAAGCCAACGAGAAGCTACATATATTCATCAGCCACTGTAAATGGGATAATGCACGTCGCAAACGAACCGTGATTTTAATGAGCGTGCCAATGAGACGATATCAAACCAATCAGGCAAATATGCGAGGTAAATTCCAGCCTCACATCTCTTTGTCTACGTCTCGTTCGTGCTCCCTCCTTCCCTCTCTCCCTCCTTCGCTCCTTCATTCACTCACTCTCCCTCATTCTGTGTCTAAGAGAATGTGTCTCGCTCAATCACTCGCTCCTCGTTGAACGCATAACATAACTTGTTTTTCGTCTCTCTTGCTCTTCTTCTTCTTCCATTTACCAACACGCTCAATCACTCACATTCTTATAGTTACTTAATCAAATTCCATTATCCACTTGCTCTCTTGCTCCTATAACTCTCGACTTCCCTTGCGCTCTTACTCCCTCTATAGTTCTCTCTTTCCTTCTTGCCTACCCACCTCTTTCTCCTCTCATGCATCCACTCTCACCCTTCAGTTTTCCCCCTCCCCAGTCTCCCGCGCCTTTCCAATCACTCGGCGAGGGCGTCCTGCCGACTCCGGGCTGATCACTCCCCACCAGATACCAATATACACACGTGTCCCTTTGCAGCCGGAACGCGCGACTCATCTCCGAGCACGCAGGCACGCGCGCCGTCGCCCAGGAAGTAACACACCGCGCCGCATAGAAAGGCCCGCCCGCGAAGATGGCAATCGGGCGCGAACGAGAGCGACAAGCACTGTACTGAGCGTGGCAACACCTCAAGACCCGACGGCACCGACGCCCTTCCACCGACGGACATGCCTTATCGCCCTCGCGTCCGATTCCCGCTCTTTCGCCCTCGCCCCGCCTTCAGCGCCGGGAGAAGGCGCGCTCGTCATCAGTACAGGAATGTGTGTGCATGTGTGTATATGCAAACAAACAAGCACGAATGCTCCGTGTGTATATACGTGTGTGGTGTTATATATAATATGTATATATATATATTATAAATATATATATATTATATATATATATATATATTAATATATAATATATAATATATATATAATGTATAAAATACATATTATGTATAAATATATTCATTATATAATACATGCATATATATATATATTATATATATATATATATATATATATATATATATATATATATATATATATATATATCATACATTTTCATATATTCATATATATCTATACCTATATCTATATTTTTTTCATTTAGTAGTTTGTGTGGTATAACATATTCACAATAGTATATATAGTAGTATATATGAATATATATATAATATAATAGAGTAGTATGAGTATACTATTAGTATAATATAGTGATAGTATAGTATATACTATATAGTATAGGGAGGTGATATGTATATGTATATACAAATAGGTATAATATATTATACATTTTAAATAGTAGAATGTATTCACACACAGTATATATATATGCTTAGTAGTGAGTATAGTGAATTCTATGATATAAGTATATATATATGAGTATATATATAAGTGATATACGTATATATATATAGCTGATAGGTGTGTGGTTGTGTGTGTGTGTGTGTGGGTGGGGGGCGTGTGTGCTGTGTGGTGTGTGTGTGTGTGTTGGTGTGTGTGGTCTGTGTGGTGTGTGATTATGTAGAATATATATTAGATATAAAATATATAATATATATAATATTAGTAATATATAGTATGACATTATATATATATAAGGATATATAAATATTATATATAGTACAACATTATATATATAGTAGTTAGTAGCATTATGAATAATATATACATTAAGTAAATATATGATATATACGATTATAGTATATATTATGTATAGTATATATTATATATATATAGTATATACAATTACAGTGCATAAGCATGGTAGTATATATGGAAGTAGGTGTAGACACTATACATGATCCATACAGTGATATAGCATATATAGGTGCAATGTCACACACACCACAGCACCAGCACACGACATATATATATACATATATTATCAATACATGCACATACTACAGAGGTATAGTGTAAGTAGAAATAGTTGAGGTAGACAGTAGCAAGTATATGGATATTGTATAGCATATCTATATACTACTAGGCAGCACACACAACACAGCACACACACCACCACAGCACACAGCACACACACAACAGCACACACCCACACACAGGACACACACACAACATCAGCACAGAACCAAACACACAGCAGCACAGCGCACAGCGTGACACGAGGTGGCACATATATATAGTATAGATAGGTAGGTAGTATATGATAGTATATATATGTAGTATATATGTAGTGTATGATGATATAGTACGTAAGGTAACACACACAGTACAGCACACAACACGAGGGACACCAACACACACAGCCACACACACAGCACACACAGCACTACGACACATCCACACACACAGCGACACACACGGGCGACGACACACACACAGGCAAACACACACAACATAGTATATATCTTTGCAGTTGAATGAGGCGACCGTCAGAGAGACTGCAATTTGGGATTTGAGAGCTGCTCTGTTCTAGTGATAGGTAGACGCGGGAGTGCCCACGGGGAGTGGTGTGAAGAACTGTCCTATCTTGTACTCAGTGTATGGAGTAGTAGGTTTCATATGCGTATGGAGCTGGGTAAGTGCTCTCTAGTGCCACACTCTTTTGTTTGGGTCGTGTATCAGTGGATAGAGGTGGGCCCGGGTGGGCGCGTGAAGTGTCTTTGCAATGGGGGTGGGGGTCGAATCCTTGTCAGGGACAGGGTTAGTAAAGGCCATGATATCAAGCGGCGCGGAGTGCATATTCCATTTCTTTCATTATAGTATGATAGGGATATATAGTATGAAGGTAAGTATATAGTAGGTTGGTATGTGACGTTGTATAGTATATTAGCATAAAATGATAGCATAAATATACAGTAAAGGTAATATAATATAGTTATGATTATAGATAAGTATATATATATATTATATGTGTGTGTGTGTGTGTGGGTGGTGGTGTGTGTGTGTGGGTGGTGTGTGTGTGTGTGGTTGTGGTGGTGTGTTGTGTGTGTTGGGTGGTGTTGTGTGTGTGTGTGTGTGTGGGGTGTGTGGGTGTAGGTGTGGGGGTGTGGTGTGGTGTGGGGGGTAGGTGGGGGTGGTGGGTGTGGGTGTGGTGTGAGTGGGGGTGTGGTGTGGGAGTGGGGGGTGGGGTGGGGGGGTGCGTGTGGCGTGCGTGCGTGTGCGTGCGGTGCGTTGTGTGCGTGTGGCGTGCGTGGTACGGTGTGCGGTGCGTGTTAAATTATGCATTACATGGGTAGATGTGACGTATGGTTCTGTGATGTCTATGTGTTTCTGGTTATGTCTGCCTGCCGTGCCTGAGAGGAGTTAGGTTGACCAATACGAATCGGTGACGAGGCGAGACAGGATAGGCAGACATTGCAGGACGGAGACAGAGCAGACAGAGCAGGGCAGACAGAGACGGCAGTGTGGTCGAGCTTTTAGATTAGTGGCAGTACGAATACTGACTTTCTTAGAGTTTGTTTCCAAGGTTACTGGTGAATGTGGCTACTCAGTCAAATGGGGGCCTGTTTGTGAAAATCTGAAACGACGACACACACAGCACGACCAGCACAGCACACACACACACACCACACACACAGACACATACACATCACAACACAGCGACACACGACAGCACACACACAGGAACGAGACAGTGACATAACACACACCGATACAACATAAGCGCCAATCACAACGGGAGCATAACAATAGAGCATTAGACAAACACACAACAGAACACAGCAACGGCACGGCGGCGCAACCCGACCAAGACAATAACATATACAGCAACCCACAACACAGATGAACAGTAGAACATCATCCGACACCCATGACACACAAGCAGTAGCAGATAACAGCAACACACGACCAACCACACAGATACAACACAACATAACGATACGACAGCACACAGCCGACAATCGCACACAACACAACACAATATGGCATACATAGGACGAGAACCACAACCACACAGCCAAGCTGGTCAAGTCTGCGGCAAGGGATTGGGACAGTGAGGACAGAATAGCGTGACAGTCCTCGTTGGGGTCTCGAATGGACAGGATAAACAAGCGAGCTCAGCGTTTGTTTGGTCGTACGACCCCGGTAACCGGTCCGCACCCTGCGGCGATAGCTGCACCGCTGCCCTCTCTCCCTCGATGCGGTCGTCTCGCAACCATGCGCATGGCTCGGCCTTCGCTCTTCGTCCCTCCTGGGCCCTCTGCTCGCAGACCAGCCGATCTCCCTGCTCCCGTCCGTACCCCCCTCTCGTCGCAACGCATGGCCATGCTGCCCTCCGTCCCGTCCTCAGCCCGTCCCTGCATCGGCAAAGCAGTCCATCTCCTCCCTCCTGTCCTCAGCCTCGCCTCACGTGCCAACGCATGCGCATGGCTCCGTCCCTCCCTCCCACCGCTCCTCTCGTCGCCCTCCATCTCCTCCTTGGCCCCTGCGTCGCAGCCATCATCCTCCCCTCGCCGTCCCCCTGCACGGCCTCGGCGTCGGTCGTCCGTAACCATCCATCTCCCTCTTGCGGCCGGGGTCTCGTTCGGGCAACCATGTCCATGCTCCCTCCCTCCCTCGCCTCGCTCCAACGCCTCCGCTGCGTCGGGCACCCATCCGATCTCCCTCGGCCTCCCTCCCACCGCCCTCGTCTGCGGGCAAGTGGTAGTGTGTGATGGGGAAAGGGAGGAAAGAGGGGGAGCGGAGGAGACAGGACAGTTAGACAGGACAAGAGAGAGACAGGGAAGAGGAAGGAGAGAGAAGGAGAGGAAGGAGAGAGAGAGAGAGAGAGAGAGAGAGGAGAGAGAAGGGAAGAAGAGAGAAGGAGAAAGAAGAGAGAGAGAAAAGAAAAGAGAGAGAGAGAGAGAAGAGAGAGAAGAGAGAGAAGGAGAGGAGAGAGAGAGAGAGAGAGAGAGAGAGAGAGAGAGAGAGGAGAGAGAGAGAGAGAGCGAGAGAGAAGAGGAGAGAGAGAGAGAGAGAAGAGAGAGAGGAGAGAGACAGAGAGAGAGACAGAGAGAGAGACAGAGAGAGAGACGAGAGAGAGAGAGCAGAGAGAGAAGAGACAGAGGAGAGAGAGAGAGAGAGGAGAGAGAGAGAGAGAGAGAGAGAAGAGAGAGAGGAGAGAGAGAGAAGAGAAGAAGAGAGAGAGAGAGGGGGGAGAGAGGAGAGAAAGGAGAGAGAGAGAAAGAGGAGAAAGAGAGAGAAAGAGAGGAAAAGAGAAGAAAGAGAGGGAGAGAGTGAGACAGTGAGACAGTGAGACAGTGACTGACTGACTGACTGACGCGCGTGCGTCCGTGAGTGCGTACATGCGTGCGCGCATCTGTGTCTTGTACGCGAGCGCGCATGCTTTCTTGTGCTGGCTGCGTGAGAGAATCAAGTCAGTAATGATGCAGGTAATTTTGTAATTGAGTGTTTGCGTAACTACAGTTAATGTGAGAGACCGCGAAGGAGTGAGAAAGAGTGCGTGCGTTCGTGAGTCTAACCGTACGAGCATGTGTTTTCGCAGCTAAAAGTGTGGGTGTGTGCGCGTGCACATGTGTACGATACCAAATACGCACAGGAAATAGCGGACGCGACCTGCTGCCATGGTGACCTAGCGCTCGGGGCTCAAGGCCGCCTCGCACCCAGGGTGCGGGTGATGCCGAACCTGTGGGGCGCGTTCCGCCTGCCATCGGACATTTTCAAGAGCTCACTACTGGGTTAAGGAGTTCGACTTTGCATTCCTTAAGAGCAACTTCTCCCCCACATACAACACTAA